CATACCTCATGGTATAGTGTAGTGGTTAAATACATGTTTGTTACAGGATTCAAACTTCTAAAACATTAAATAACTTATTCATATTGACAATATATGTTCTTATCATAACAAAACTTTTGAAATCCAAGTCAACTTGGTTCAGTCTCTCAAAACTACATAAACTATACGGACAAATGGAAAACTGAAAGAATTTGCTTTGGAAAATGCAGAGCTATTATGATAACAACTCACATAAAATATCAAGAGAGCTTTGAATTTGGTATCAAGCAACAATATGTCCATGAAAGATAAGAGGTTTCATTATGCATCTATCTTATAGTCTTAGTACTTTTAATTTAAGTAAATACATCACAGGGCGTGTGAATGGATCTGCATGCATATCACTCCTAACCAAGAAATGTTTTGATAAAATGCATTCCGAAAACTTTAATTGTGAATGGATCTGCATGGATATCACTCCTAACCAAGAAATGTTTTGATAAAATGCATTCCGAAAACTTTAATTCAGTTGTTAACTATGTAAAGTTATTGAGTTATTTTATAGTCATGTGAAAAACAGTTAAATCTATCATTCCACAGAGTGTTCCACAACTCTTATATCAAAACCTTTCATCCGTATAGACAAGGGAGGTACCAGATTATCTTATTAAAAAAAACGACACCACAAAACTGCCAATCAGTACGTATTCCATTTACCGATGAAAGTGTACAGTATGAAGTGTGAAGAAACCTAAATAAAGAATGCACCAGAATTTGACAGATTTTCAGGGAAACAATATAAAATTATTTCTCAGGGAAACAATATAAAATTATTTCTCAGGGAAACAATATAAAATTATTTCTGTACCATATTCTTCTATTGTAAGTGCAGGGACTGACATATCAATACTAACTAAAACTTAGGGTGGGCATATTACAGAACAATAAAAGATAAAACTGTTTTCGATTCTAATAAACAGCAATATGAGTGGGCTTACTGCCAGGCATGGCTAACTGCCAGATATATATATATATTAACATTTTGTAATTTCATCAGATACAATTTTACCTGTAGTCACCACCATCCTATCAACCCTGATCATTATACACAGTAAACCAGCAGTGTCTTCTATCAGTTTTACAACAGGTAGTACAAACCAGGTAAGATCTTTCTATACAATATCTGATTATTGATCGTCAATCTGGTATCAAACAGTGGTTGTCTCCCTTGAAACCAGAGAGATAGGTTAGTCAAAGATCTATAAATAAATGCTGAGTAACATACAGGTATTCACATCATCAACACTATGGTACAAATCAATACCATCTCTTCTTATGAAAAGCTTAACGTGAAACAACAGTCTATACATACCAGTCTAACGCAATCATCTATCTATCTCCTACCTGTCTTAAGCTACCATCTGTCTATCTCCTACCTGTCTAATGCTATTATACATCTAATTCCTACCTGTCCTAAGCTACCATCTGTCTATCTCCTACCTGTCTAATGCTATTATACATCTATCTCCTACCTGTTCAATGCTATCATACATCTATCCCCTACCTGTCCAATGCTATCTTACATCTATCTCCTACCTGTCCAATGCTATCATACATCCATCCCCTACCTGACTAAGCTACCATCTGTCTATCCCCTACCTGTCTAATACTATCATACATCTATCTCCTACCTGACTAAGCTACCATCTGTCTATCCCCTACCTGTCCAATGCTATCATACATCTATCCCCTACCTGTCCAATGCTATCATACATCTATCTCCTACCTGACTAAGCTACCATTTGTCTATCCCCTACCTGTCCAATGCTATCATACATCTACCCCCTACCTGTCCAATGCTATTATACATCTATCCCCTACCTGTCCAGTGCTATTATACATCTATCCCCTACCTTACTAAGCTACCATCTGTCTATCTCCCACATGTACCTATCTAATGTTACCATATGAATTTCACCTACTGTACTAACCCTTCTGTTATCTATATACTACCTCCTGTTTAGAACTGCTTCCTTCCTGTCTAACACTACCACCTTTTAATTGAAAAAAAGTTCAGTTTATTTGGATTTCTCAAAATTTTACTCTACAGAAAAATCTCATTTTTTTTTTTTTTTATAAAGAGAAGTTCTTACCTTCATAGATATATTAAAAACACAGGCCTGAACAATACAGGTATGTGTGCGAGGTCTACAATATCATAATACTAGTGGTTATTAGAAGTATGATGGGACAGGATACCAGTCATCAGATACAATAGCCATGTACCATTAATATACAGTATCAGACAATTACAAAACACTTAATAATGACAGTCATACTACAGTCCTCATTGAATGGTATGTAGGTTGTAAATATCTCCACATGTGATGTTGATTATCAGGTCATTTTATCTCCTGTTGTTTAATATCATATCGTACTATATCTACATTATATTGTTCATTAAAATTACAAACCAATACTATTTCCTTCCTGTCATGAGCTTGTAAATATGTGTTGCTGTGCACACTAAGATAACAAATTAATTTTATTTAATTTGTCAGAAACATACCTATCCATTTATGTAGCCATTAGTAAAATTTAAAATATAGCATTTGTATGAGTTAAATTTTGTCAAAATACCAGTGTTACGATAGCAAAAGTAAACATTACTATAAAGCTAATTTTCACTCACTGCCTGACAGATGTACTAAAACTACCCACTCACTGTGTTAGATTCAGGATTAACTGGTCTTGTCAACTTAATCATAACAGTAGCTTAATCAAGACCATCAGTAAACAATAATACTTCCTAGCTGAAACATGTCAACCAAATAAACTACCGATCACAGAATCCTTGGTGTAGATGCTCCATCCTTTATTTAGTTGTTAGTACCTATTATCTATGGAGGTCTGCTAGAATCCTTCTGATCCACCTAGGATTCTTCTACCGATACATCTACCAACTAAAACCACTCACAGGACGTTGGTTCTACCGATACATCCACCGACCAGTACCACTCACGGGACGTTGGTTCTACCGATACATCCACCGACCAGTACCACTCACGGGACGTTGGTTCTACCGATACATACACCGACCAGTACCACTCACGGGACGTTGGTTCTACCGATACATCCACCGACCAGTACCACTCACGGGACGTTGGTTCTACCGATACATACACCGACCAGTACCACTCACGGGACGTTGGTTCTACCGATACATCCACCGTCCAGTACCACTCACGGGACGTTGGTTCTACCCATACATCCACCGACCAGTACCACTCACAGGACGTTGGTTCTACCGATACATCCACCGACCAGTACCACTCACGGGACGTTGGTTCTACCGATACATCCACCGACCAGTACCACTCACGGGACGTTGGTTCTACCGATACATCCACCGACCAGTACCACTCACGGGACGTTGGTTCTACCGATACATCCACCGACTAGCACCACTCTCAGGACGTTGGTTCTACTGATACATCTACCAACTAGTACCACACACAGGATGTTGGACTCCTCCAACTCTTTTTATTTTCCCAATAATACTGCCTAGTAAGACCACGAGTTAACTTTCTATTAAGACCATGAGTTGACTATAACACTACCTATGAGGTAACAATAATACTTTGTAGTAAGACCACGATTTAACTATAATGCTTCCTATTAAATGTTAACTATAATGTATAACAGCATGCTGATTTACTTGATTATCAATGGTTATTGATTTGATTACAAAAATAACCAACAGTTAAATGGTGATTCTCAAATTTATTAGGCTATATGATAACACAGTATGAAAGGATCTAGCAGAGAATGGGAAACAAGAAGAGGCCACAACATATATATATATGTAACCCAAACTATTATTCTACAGGTGATGAGGTAGTCACCATGGCAACACACTGTTAAATATATGCTGGGTGTATAGCCATGTGAAAAGTCAGGATCACTTTGAAAACTCCATGTTGTGGATGGTGGCTATCTCACTGAGCACAATGCAGGAGGCAATAAAGAACAATATGGGTAAAGGACGTGCCATGCCAAAGGATACAACAGCAGGGGATGGTTTGTGATCAGTAGCTACACAAACCATTCCTAATACAGATCCAACCACACCTTGGATCTCTAGCTTTAATGACACCTGACAGCAGTTGAAAGTCAGTCATCACATTTATATATATACATATATATATATATACAAAATGATGTGAAAAAAATACAGGTAAGAAATACATATAAAAGCAAAATACAAAAATTCTACAATGTATATAAGGTATATCTACCAACAGCCAATCTATCACAAAAGTAAAAAGCAGGACGACTGCAGAAAATCTAAATTGAATAAAAATAAAAAAATAATGTAAAAATCACTCTCATCATACCATTCTTAATATTAATTTGTCTTATTGAAATCTGTGACAACTAGCTAACTACAGTAAAACTCAGATAAGTGGAAGTTGACGAGACCAAATGAAATATACTTATCGGATGGTCTGACTTAGCCGTGTTTCTACTAAAGGAGATACTGCATATCAAAGATTTATCCTATTTTCATCGACTGTTTACCGAATAATATTTATATAACAAATAAAAATTTTTTGTACTTTTATACACTAATGATATCTTTTAGTTAAATAAACAGTTACAAGTATGAATACAAAACGAAAAAAATGTAATGTGAAACAATATTTTGAAATAAAACTCAATAAATACATACTCATTTTTACCTGAGATAAGGTAACGACTGAATGTTGGACAAAATAAGGAAGTATTGGTGGAATTAAGAAAGGATGGATCACAAAAAACAATAATATAAAGTATTTGATTAAAGCAGGTTTAACACGAGTTTTACTGTAATATGTTAGTAGCTGTTAATCGACAGATTTTAGGTAAGACTAGCAGTTAAGAATGATGGTGTATAGACTACAGAAGTGACAAGCATTACAATGACACCCAGTGCGTGCTGATAAACTATAGACACAGGGTGCAGGAATATACAGAGTTACCTCTCTTGAGTGTATCCCATTTATTACCTCCCTTCTGCGATTTCCCTCGTGAAGATTGCTTCTTTTTAGCTTTGGATTTAAGTGAGGTTTTATCTGTCTGAGGGAGTTTATCTGGCAACACTATCTCCTCATACACGCCACTGGCTCCAACTGATAACGTCCTTTGCAAGCTTTCCTTTCTACATAATGGTTTTGGTGCTACCTCCTCCTCAACTTTCACTTGTAAAACCTTGTCATCTACTTCAGAAATACTGGTATTGTCTGTAATTGGTTTTGCTAAATCATAGATAAATTTATCATCTGTTTTATAGTTGACATCACTTAGAACTTTCACACTTTCTCCTTGTGGAAGACTGGTTTGTGCCTCCTGTATCGGAGGTTCTACATCAGGTGTCTGTGTCAAACCTTCTTTGTCCATGACATCCTGTGATTCTCTATTTTCCGTTGTATATTTTGTATCCTTATCTTTGTTAACACCAATCTGTTCAGGTCCCTGCTCACTACATTTTACACCATCATCTTCACAAACAGCTTCATAAAAGTTCTCCTCTAGCGTCCGGTTTTCCTCCTCGATAATCTTTAGCTCAGGAAGAGGCTCTTCGGGTTCCTCATAAGAAGGCGACCTTGCTACATTTTTAGCCAATTCATAAACAGGAAAGGTAGAATGTGAGGCAAGATCATACACTATGCCACCATCCCGTGACTGTCCACAGGACTGTTTAACAGGACCAAGAGATGATCGTAAAATAACATCTTGGGAAAGTGGCATTGGTTCCCACATTTCTGCTACAGGTTTGGAGATATCATATAACCCCAGTGGGGCCTTAACTACATCATACTCTGGAGCATCCCCGCCTAACAACCCATCCGTACTAGTCTGAAAATTCATACCTGTATTGCCATTTTGACCTTGACTCTGGCGCATCAGCGTGTCAACTTGGACAGTGGAAAACGCATCAACATAAAGGTCTGTCTCATCATCTGAGGAGTCCATCCTTGGTCTCCTCTCCTAAAATATAGAATTCATACACATGTTGTAATATGTAAAACAGTTCAAAGATTGAGGAATATGCCATAGAAAATCAGAGGCAGCAATTACAGAAATTAATTTACGTGTTCTACATATTTTTTGAAAAACTATCATCCGGAACAAGCCAAATTTTCTTTAAAACTTTACCGGCAGATAAATGTTATCATCATCTTTGACACTTTTGAGAGACAAATTCTCTATTAATGATATGCAGCTCTGAGATCCAGCTCTGAGATCGCATTTATATGTATATTAATTAAACATTCATGTTAAGCTAAAAATAACATTTTTTCACAGTGACATGTCCCTATGTTAATTAACATGAAAACTCTGTGCTGATCAAGATTAAAGTACACAGAGTGAGCTTGAAGCCACTGTCAATGATTAAGTCAGTGATAGGTTAGTTACTGTAACTCCAAAACATCTGGACTACACTCATGTCAATTACACTGATAGCTAACAATTATCCACAACCACACAGGAATCTGTTTTATGTGTGTATACCGAGGTAACATAGTAAAAAAGATCTGTGTTTCATGTAAGGTTATACACCAGTAAATATAAGCGATATGGCAGCTCAGGTGTGGATACTTAGCAAGAAAACAGAAATCACAGAGCTGATAATTCGCAACCCTTAATATGTAGAAACATTTGGTGAATCAAGCATAAAATGTGGTTGGTTCTGAACTTTCTGCCATGCACATCTTAAATCAGTCAGCCATGACAATACTACACTGTACAACTTACTCTGATAATCTCCATCATCATCAAGCAGTTATTGTAACATTACAAGTCTGAAGAACCTTTATGAAACTATCGAGATTTGTGAAATTCTGTGTTATCTGAAAGATGTTGGTCCATATAATAGACTATGACTTACCATTTCAATCTTTTTTGATAATATAACCATTTAAGATTTTTAGCATTTGTCTTTTACCTTTTGGTTTGTTTGATGTTATTTCCTTTTTTGGATCGCTGTGTGTTTTACCGTTTGATGACCCTAATGACCTTTATGTGTTGACGAGCCGTTTAGAATGTCATGAAATTAATCATCAAACAGAAGCACCGCACCTCTTTTTACGTAGAAAGCAGCCACATTAACCCTCGACCTGATGACCTTGACCACTGGTCAGCAGATGTCTTCATCACTTCTGACCAACTACGTTTCATAAAAATATAATACCTATTGATTGATTTCATTAACAGAAATATACCTTGACCTGTGTCCACATGACCTTGACATTTGGTTTGATGATGACTTCAAATTTCACCTTGACATTTGACACCCTGACATTGTCCTCTGGTCAGTTTGTTTTTTAATGTGATGCTACCCACAATGGAATGCTACCCAAAATGGAATGCTACCCACAATGGAATGCTTCCCAAAATGGAATGCTACCCACAATGGAATGCTACCCACAATGGAATGCTACCCACAATGGAATGCTACCCACAATGGAACACTTCATAAAAATTTGATGCATACTTTTTATTTTGCAATACAAGTTTCTATTAACTATTTTAAAGAAGAAGTAAGATATTTATGTATTATTAGAATTGAATTATTACATTTTTTGACAATCCATGTCTTCTATGTTGCTCATCATCTCTATTCAAAATTTTCAAACATGAAAAAAAAAAAAAAATCTGTGGACATGTCATGCAACAGCACAAATATCCAATCATGTTTTTAACCAATGAAAAGTAATGTTGAAATTAATATTTTGACAGATAAATGACTAAGATTAATGAGAGAAAGTGAACTTTCATATAATGAAGTAATATATTCAAGATTAGGTCAGTTACTTCTACAAATGAACTGAATAAAAGAGGCGTTCCATTTTGGGTACCTCTACCTGTTGACATGCATTGCTGAACATGGCATGCCTTTTTGTGTCCTATTTATAGACATGTACACTGCTGACATGTAATCAAAGCAGGAAATGAAAGCTGAAGGTATCTATTTGTGAAATATCAAGAAAAAATATAGGATTCAAAGACTTGGTAGAAAAATTTGACAATTATCTTTAAAACGTGTTCCGATTTGGGTAGCATCACATTAACTTGATCTGGTCCAACTTCATTTCTAAGGGTTACAAAATAATGCTAGCCATTTAAAAGAATCTCAATTTCACCCTAATAATGTTGACCTCTGGTCAATTACACCCCCCACCCCCAACTTTTAAATCCTATTAAGTGCCAAGTTTGACCTTGGCCTGTCCCAATAACTGTGACATGTGACTGTTTTGACCTTGACTTTCCACTTGATTTTAACCCTATTTGTTTTGTATATTGTCCTAAAATGTTTACCTTTAACGAGATAAACACAATAGTAACAACATCGGTAAACGGTTACAATACTAGTAATACACTATAAGTCCAATACAAGGTGATTCGTGTATGGCCTTCTTTTTACCACAATTTCAAATTTGTAAGTGGACAAAAATCTTCCTTTAATTAATTGCTAGTTTTTGGTTTGGGAAGGGGAGGAGGGGAGGACATCAAACCAAACAGGCCGTGAGCAGGACGGAAGTGAGAAGAGACAGAAAAACAGAAGGGTAAAATGGACAAAAAAAGAAAGGAAAATACAGTTTTTCAACCACTGGCTGGCCGACAAGCCAAATCAAATCTCAATCAAAATTTGGTATCCTTTATGTGAAAGGTACTTTTTATAACTGATCTCACCTGTATACCTGTAATCACATACACATTTTTGTACTGTTAAACATAATAGTTTATACAATGGTCATGGTAGTGTATAAATATATCAGGGTTTATCATCTGACATAACACTTCACATATGTAAACAAAGCTGTATGCTTTGAAATGTATTTTATTATCTAATTCTTATCGAAGAGGAAAGTTGTTTAATATATTTTCTGTCTGAAAGGTCCCACGTTGTGAAGCAAATTACTATGTTAATGTACGGCTGATGCCTCCTTACCAATAGTTATAATATCTCCATAACCAGTAATAATGAACTTTCTTAAACAATAAAATTCACTATTTTATATATACAGGTACCAGACATTACTTTAAACTATCCAGTACAGAAATTGATTGAAATATGGTTTTAAAGCACCTCCAGATCCACATGCATATTTTGACATTGATTTTTCTAAGTTACCTCCTAACACTTTAGGCCCCAAGTATCCATGCCAAGCCCTATAGGGACACAACAGCCCAATACTGCAGTTTAATAAACTCAGCTTCACTGAAATTCTGAAGTAATGAAAGACATTATTCACTGGTGTGACAGCTTTAAGGCTATTTTTCATGTTTGAGGACTTGTACCACATTGACCCACAGTGATGGCAAGTGTATCTCTTACCATTTGATAGTAGGGATAATCGCCAGAGAAAAAACAGAACCTGACATATTTCCTCATCATCTTACAGTGTTAGGTCCAAAATTCAAGGGCCGTTGATTAAAACATGTTATCCAGACAAAGACTCATTATATGTAAAACAATATACATGCAAATTTAACAAATGCTGCACTAAACTGGAACAGATCTCTGGTGCCAATGTTATTTGCTGTAGTCATGACAACAGATAAAAGATCAAATAAAAAAAAAGTACCAATGAATGAGTCTGTAAAAAGATACATGTACTGATGGCAATTTTCATCTTAAGTACTTTCCAATTTGGCATTAAGATTAGATGTGCAATCCAAGCCAGTACTTTCAGCCAGGTACCACTGCATAAAGAATGAGATTGGTTATCTCTATAGCCTCGGGAGAGGTAAAACACCACATGAATACCGACTTCCTATCTAAAGGAAGTGACTTGGCCCTTGATGACCTGTTACACAGAAAGCCAATCTGAACAATAGCAGTCAATAGCCCAATAATTAGAGAAATAATTAAAAGTTTCTTTCACGGTGTAAAGGTCTCATGTAATTTCCACTCACAGTAAAATGACCTTGAACAAGCATGAACTTTCAGCAAGGTTTTATGCAAGGATCCTTTTTTTTCTGTATCTGCATTGCGTGTATTGAGGAAACTGCAAATTGCTTTCTGTGCATTATATTCACATTTGAGAGATTTTTGTAAAACGTTAAAACAAATTACCTTGTAGATATCGTTGAAACAGCTGAAAGTTCAAATGAAAAGCCATTGAACAATCACCAGGTGGCGCTGTTCGGGCATCATCGACAACATCGACATTAAAGTATTTCCAAGAGCAAATTATGAAATTGATGGTTTTATCTATACTTTGTTAATAAGTAAAATGTCTTGTAAAATTATAACTCAATGTTTTACATGTCTGTTACATTCTAATCCATGATTATACAGCATTTAGAGATATCAAAACCTAAAATTTACATGATAAAAGAAGTGACCACTACTGCCATGTAGATTACAAACAAATAGTATCATACTGTCACTGTAGACTTGTTTCTCAATCTGTCAAAGTTTCCATCATTATGATCTTTCATAGACTAACCTAAGATACAGAAGCTGAACACTTTAGCACAGTAGTTTAAGAAATAAAAGTGATACAACCCTCTGTTAATATCTCACAACACAACTGCATATTGTTTATACAGGAACATTACAGATCCCAGTTGGAGGTAACAGAACTTGATACAGACTGTCTGCTCGCTCAACATCACACACCCTGACTGCTGCCAAAATATTCTGTATAACTTTGATAGATCTATTTAAATCTTACATAAGTCTGCAGTCACATAATCATAGCACAGAAAATGTGGTATGAATACTGTTAGGGCTGCTTTTAAACTTGAACATGATTTTAACAATTTAATTTCTTTAAAACTGTATAGCTTTGAATGTTAAAATAACCATATGATTTTTGCACACAGTTGTAACTCCGTGTTATTGAAACTATTCAGGGATAAAAAATTGTATGAAAGGAATTTTCATTGCGAGGTATGGCCTTTCATATTCTGATGACCCATTACGGGTCTTCCCACTGATATAGAATATCAACTACCTGTCTTACCAAGAATATCTT